TTTTTTTTTTTTTTTTTTTTTTAAAAAAAGGTCCCTCGTGTCAGATGAAAGTCCTTCAGAAATTACTGTGGCATCTAAGATAGGGCCAGCTACCCTTTGAGGGTTCAGAAAAATTTTGTCCTTTGCTATTGGTAAAGGCTCATTCCTATTGAGCTTTAAACTCCCGCAAACACAGGAGATTTGCAGATGTACTGATTCTTGACCCACTAATAATTTGGTATGTACCAAATATTCTCTTGCCTTTGAATATTTCCCTCTTCTCTGGTTCTGAGAAAAACACCAAGTTTCTTGTGCATAATTCTCAAGTAGGAATCCTTTCTCTGAAACAAGATCAGCACATTTTTGCGTATTTATCAATACCTCAAATAATGTGGCTTTTCCTTTGCTAGACGTATAGTTTGCATGACTCTGAGAAGTGTGGTAGGCGAAGATTAAATGCCTGTGGCACACCTGATTCCCCAGTCTGTGGGCTCTCAAGTCGGCCAGCTGCCCCCACTGCCCTCTGAGTTTGGAGTCGTCCCCCAGAGCCTGCATCCGTGGGAACGTTTCTTTCTGTCATTGTCCCGGGCAAATGCTAGAGAAACAGGAGCTATGCATTTGCTCTCAGACTTCGAAGTTCATGTTTTAGCAGAGTCCAGTGCAGTGCAGTCGTGTGGGTCTTTTTGTGCCCATGACCCTCCTCATAGTATGCTCTTGGCAAGGGAGAAATGAGCTTGAAAAATTCAATTCTCCGAAACGTAATTCCCCCACACGCAGACAGATGTCAAAAATTTGCCGTTGTAGCTTTACTTTTTATTTGATTTTATTCCTCTAAAGAATTATTTAATTAGGGACCAGCAGATAGTGTAGTCCTTACATCGCTGGACTCCCACATAGTCGACCCTGGTTCAAGTCCCAGGTCCGGCTGCTTAAAACTCATGCCAGGCATGTGTGTGTACATGCCCAAAATCCTAAGAGGAAAATGGAGAAGAAGGGATTGTGATGTGGCCATCACCCCTGGGGGGTGATTTCTCACTCTCTGTTTCCCTGTTTCTCTCTGTCTCTTCAAAGAGCACGTGTGCCCTATAGCAAAAAACAATCTCTCTCTTAAAAAGAAAAAGAATTATATAATTTAATTTATTATTATTTTTTATTATGACCAGAGAGAGGGGGAAAGTGAGAAAGTAAGCCACCAGGTCCAGGACTCGAACCACAGTCAACCACGTGGGATTTCAGCGCCCTAATCACCACAACACTTGCTGGCTCCTATAGGTTTAATTTTTAGATGAAGACTTCGGCTACTGAAGAACATAGAACAAGGTTATTTCTAGTTATTCGAATATACTTTTAAAGTTTTTTGTTATTTTTTTTAATTGCCAGAAGGTGTGCCAACTCACCAGCGAGAGACTGAGACAGGGAAAGCACCTCCGAATAGTGCATAGTGATCCTGCAATTCCTTTTCCATTTCTCTATCCCATTGAGATTTGGGGTACACACATACTCAGCATTTTTCAAGCCACTGGGGTTGGGATTCAAATTGTTGTCGGCAAGTTGGGAACGGGGGCCCCATTAACCACTAGGCTTCAGGGTTGGCCCTAGTCATTTATATTTTACTATGAATGTGTAATAGGTTTAGGGTGTAGGATCCTGGTTACCTAAGGAAGGTGTTAGGGTGTCATCAGCCTAACAGTTACTTATCCGCTCCAAACAGACGCAGGCAGAAAGAGAGCCCTCTGGTCTAGTGGCCATTCCTTTGTGGGGAACATTTACTGCTCTGATGTTTCTTTCTTGGGGACTTGCTATAGGATGAAGTAAACAAAAACTCACAAACAAAACTCATTATCTACTGCAAATAAGTGTTTTAAGTATAATTGAGCTTCAGACTGCCTTGGGTATGAGAGATTTAAAGAGATGCTCAGGTTCCTGTCTCACTGATAATTTGGTATTTATTTGCGTGTTTCTTCCACTTGAAAATTTTTCTCCTCTCCAGTTTAGAGAAAAAAAAAAAGAGAGAAAGAGAGAAAAAAAAAAACAACTGATAGGACTGAGGCATAAGCTCTTAGCTATTCTCCGCCAGCCTTCAGAGGCTCTGCATTTGAAGGGGGCCTGGTGCTGCTGAGCCAAAGTGCCCACCAGGGGGTAGATTATGCTGCGGAGCTGCCAGGATGCACAGCTGTCAGAGGAGTGTCCTTGTCGTGCTCCCCATGTTAGCGGTGAAAAACAATTGTAGGAAGAAATTGGTGGTGGGCGGGAAGGCAGTATTTGAGTAACTGAGATCATCATTAAGTAATTAATCAGCGAGGTCTGATCCAGCCATCCTTCCCCTCTTTTGTAGCACCTTGGAACATTTCAAGAGGTGGCTCCAGCCAGATAAAGTAGCCATCAGCACAGAAGAGGTCCAGTATCTGATTCCTCCAGAGTCACAGGTTGAGAAGCCAGCGGCTGGGGACGAGCCAGTGGCCGGAGACAAGCCAGCAGCAGCCGAACAGTAAATTACACATTTGCACGCCGAGCAGCTGTCTTGGATCCGGAGGGAACAGTGGAGAGTTGGGCAGCGCAGCGGCAGCAGCAAGGAGAAATCTTGGGAGGGAAAAGGCCCAGACATCACTCCTCAAAGCAAACAGCTGCAAGCCCCCGGGGACTTGCTTGGGGCTGGCCTGCGTGGCTGTCTTGGATGAAGTGACTGAACCAGGGCATGCTGGATGAAAATACTGCTCTCTTCTGTGTCTCATGACTAGCCTGAGCTCTGTTGCTGCAGGCTTGAAGTCTGCTGAGGACCTAGTGAGGGACCAAGTGTGAGAGTACTTGGAGAAACTTAAAACGTCATTTAAGTGAGCCATGCCTTTCTTGCCTCGTCTGGATATTGATGCTTGTGTCCCGAGCACTCCCTTGGTCAGTTTTTGAAACCTGCTCCTTGATTCCAAGCTCCCTATGGGGCTCCTCTCACAGATCCATAGTAAATCCGTGGGCCCCAGGGGGACAGGCTGGGCTTTTCCTTTGATTTGTTTCTTGTCGAGAAAATAGTTGAAGGAAGTGTGAACGTGTGGGTGTTTATGTCTGTGTGTGTGAGTGTGTGTTTTATTCATGCACGGCTTCACCCTCAACATCCTCCTGTACTTAAAAAGGGCCAGGTTCCACATTGGATTGTAAATATGATGTTACTGCTTGCCATGACTCCCAAATAGTTCCAAACTTGTTCCTTGTGCCAGCATATCTGGCGGAGCCTGAGCTCCCTCTCACGCTGATCATACAGTTCTGTATGCATTGATATATAAAACTTTGCTCATCTGAATAGCTGTGTGTGATGCAGTTGACCCTGTTCCTCCCAGAGAGATGCTCCCAGGTAGTGGGGAGATAGACAAACACGTGCCAATGCAGGGAGCTGGCAATCTTTTAGCCTCCTGTTTTGTTTGTTAAATAATTTTATTTATTTTATTATTTATTATTATTTAAATTTGACCAGAGAGAAACAAGGGAGGAATACAAGAAAGTAAGCTACCAGGTCCAGGACTTGAACCGTGGTTGGCCATGTGGGAGTCCAGCACCCCAGAACCTGCTAAACCCCCAGCCTTCTGTTTTTAACACAGGCCCTCTGACAAACCAAACCTCATATTCTGAAGGTAGGACTCCGAGACCATGGCTCCATGGGGCCTCTTCCTGGGTAGTAGTTTCTAAATCCCTAACGATGAACAGGGTGGCTACAAACATCTTCACCAAAACAAAACAAAACTGAGAAAGGAGACCAGACAACTTAGAGATAATGCAGGGCTTTGCAAGGCTGACCCACATGGGAAGGTTCCATGTTTATGTCCAGACCTGTCTTTAAACATACTAAGCACACATATACCTGTGATTTGGCACTGGCTGAAACTGGATGGATCAAGGCATGACGTTGGGAGCGCCTGTCCCTTTCTCAGTTGCTCACTCATAGAAGAAATAAACTTTAAATACATTTCCTCAGAGAACCATTTGCTCATTTCTAAATCAAATATTTGCCTTGCCTGAAAGGATGGAACCGTAGGCCCGTGATTCCATATACTTGCTAATGATACGCAATTTTTGTTGTAATTTCCAGGTATATTTTACCCTTTTTTTCTTTTTCTTTTTCTTTTTTCAAATAATTATTTATTTAATTTTATTTATCCATTCATTTATTTTAATTTGACAGAGAGAGATGCACAGAGAGAAGAGAGGGAAAGTGAGAAAGCAAGCCACCAGGTCTGGTATTCGAACCATGGTCGGCCATGTGGGAGTGTCCAGTGCCTTAACCACCACGCCACCTCCTGGTCCCCACCTTTTTTTCATTGACTAATAGTGTTAGCTTTATTCCTACTGCTTTGTATTTGTGAGATACTTGTGGTATAGAAAGTGGCCCTTTGTGGCACCCAGGCCCTTTGAGGAAGTCAGAGTACCGACAGTCCAGGTCTGATCAAGCTCACAAGGCCTCACTCTTCCCTAGGGCCATCTGATGCCTTTCAGCTGGATGGAGAGGTTTAAAAACAAAACGACAACAAAAAACCCTAAGATTTTTCTTCTCTTTTTTTTTTTAAATTTTATTTATTCATTCATTTATTTTAATTTGACCAGAAAGAAACACACACAAAGAGAGAGAGAGAGAGAGAGAGAGGAAGCAGGCCACCAGGTCCGGGACTCAAACGATGGTCGGCCATGTGGGAGTGTCCAGCAGC